TGGGAAAGACCTTGTGAGACCAGTGAAGTACTCTGCTCTGAGTATGATAAACTCAATTCTCTGCCACAGAGGAGGCCAAATAAGATTCTTTATGCACATTCTACTTAAAAAAACGTAAGGAGGAAAATACACAAAATAAAAATAGTGTGTTAAATACTGAGTAAATGTACCTATATTCTCCTATAAGCTAGAATTTACTATGATTTTGAATAATTATGTTTAAGCAAAAAGCTGAATGCTTTCTTCCTGGAAGTAGTTTATATGCTGAGATAATTGACATTAAAGGGATTTATATATTTGCAATATTGGACTGATTTTTTTCAGACTTTTTTTCACACTAGTAACAGTGTGTTCAACAATGCATTGCCATTTTGAGCCATTAATACTCAAGATAATAATACAGTCGTGCCAGTCAGTAAATGTCATCAGGGGGAAAAATGAAAAGAAAGTTTACCTTCATTTAAACTATTAAAGTTCCTAGAATTCAGTGTATTAGTTAAGCTGCATTTTATTCATCAGAAATTCATATTATACTGTTCACAGGTTAATGGTTAACAACCTTTATATTGTAAAATCAAGCAGCCTGAAATTTCTCTCTAGACATACATGTGCAGCCCCAATCTGCATTCTCAATGACATATGAAAGTTTTAAATATTGCATTTAAATTTTTACTTATTATGCCAACATATTTAAACTGAGATGAAACTCACATAAGACACAATCAACCATATTTAAGTTACAGTTGGATGACATTCAGTAGATTCACATCAGCATGCAACTCTTCTCCCCAAATATCTTCATCCTCCCAAAAGAGACCCCCTTTCAATAGATAGTCATGCCTAGTCCCTTTCCCTCCAGCCCTTGGCAACCACAAGCTTCTCTCTGTTTATGGATTTAATCTATTCTGGATATTTCCTATAAATAGAAACATAAAATATATATTCTGTGTTGCTTTTTACATCTTTTTAAAAGGAAACCAGTCACCTGACTTGTTAAGTCTCTGATGACACCCCAATGTTTTCACCCATATTGGTTTTCAAATAAATAATTATTGCTTATCTGTGGAAAATCCAACAAGATTGTTGAGTAGAGGCAAACAAAGGGGCAAACATGTAAGATCCACATCTATCCAATTCTAACCTCATCCTCTTGCACTGTCTTTTCAAAGCCTGCAACTAAGTTGGTTTTCTTGCTAGGTCCTGAGTCTCATGAATACATCTGCCTGCTCACTCCCCCGGTCCTTGCACATACTAACTTCTACACTGCATTTCCCCCTTTTAGTCATCTAAAGCATTCTATGTTAAAGCATCACAGCTGCTGTTCAAAATTTCCAATCCCAAACCTCTGTCTCCACACTGCTACTCTGTCTGGCCCATGTCTGGTGTAGCAGCACACTGCTTTGTGATATGTTGCTGTGTGAGTACTCTCTTAGATCCTGAATACTTTTGTATTTGTGTATCTACCCCTAATGACTACCAAAGTGCCTGTAACTGAAATCAGTAAGTTTTGTGTGGATAAAAATCAAAGAATGGTGATCACAAATATTCTGCGGACCACAGTTAGGTAAACTCTGATAACAGTGGTTCTCAAACTGTGGTCCTTATAAAAGTAACATGAACATCAATCTGAACAACCTGAGAACTTGTTCAGCTTGCAGATTCCAGGGCCAAACTCGAGACCTACTGAGTCAGGAACTGTGTGTGGGGCCAGCAGTCTGTGTTTTAACCTGCTCTCTTAGCAACTGTCGTACTCTTAAGTTTGAGAACAATTGATATGAAAATCAAAAACAGTGGAACAGCTGGCTTACCTTGGCTTCTGAACAGCCATGCTGCCGTTTCCTGTGAGAATTTCCAGTACCCTCTCCAGAACCCTCCCACTGGCTCACTCCTAAGAGTTGAGAGCCTCAGGACTCACACTTTGGGTCTCCCCTGAAGAACTATAATTTCCCTAAGTCCACATGTACCTGTATATTGGCGACAGTCTCATTTTTGTCTCCAGCGCACACCCCTCTCTGACATCTACTATGTCCACTTGATTTCTCAGTTTTGCTTCTTCATGTCTATAGGTACTTACTGAATTCTTACTCTTTCCCATAAACTTGAGACTCTCTGGACTTCCCCAACTCAAAAAAAGGAAAGTTTTTACTGGGTTTCTCAGACTAAAAACCTTTAACAATCATTCCCGACTCCTCTCTTTTTATGGAACATGACACTTCACATTCCTTCTTTGCACAGTTGTGGCTACCTACCAAACACAGCCTCAACTATTTCCTATCATGGCTACTATCTGAATCCAAACCAATGTTATCTTTTGCTTGATCATACAGAATTCTTGCTAATACTCCCACAACAAACACCTACACAAGCATTTCTCCTAAGAGAGTCAAAATATTAACCAGATTGTTTTGTTTCCTATCACAGAATAAGAAAGAAATTCCTAATTTGTTCCATAGTTTCCAAGATATCACGTGACATCACCCCAGACCCATGACGACCATTCTCCTAGCCATTCTAATATGCTTTTTTCAAACAGGTAAAGATTCACATCAGAGTCTGCATTACACCATCTTCCCTGTTCATAACAGTCTTCTCGAGGCTCCCAGGAAGGTCCCTCAACAACCTCGGCACTCTTGTCTCCATAGCTTTTCTTCCTAAACCCTCCCTCGTCCATTCTAACTCACCCTTTTGTTTGGAACACTACCAGTCACCTGTGGCAGCATACTAAGTGATCCTAAAGCCTGGTGACTTTAAACGATACCAATGTATTATCTCACAGTTCCCATGGGTTAGGAACGCTGGATGCTGCCAGGGCCTCTGCTGCAGGGTCTCTCCTGAGGTTACAATCAGAGTTCACCTGGGGAAGGAGCCACTTCCAGAGGTTGTTTGGGGGACTCCATTCCCTTTGGGGTTGTCGGAACGAGGGCCTCAGTCCTTGCCATGCAGACTTGTGCAACATGATGCTGGTTTCACTAAAACCATCAAGGGAGTGGGACTGCTAGCATAACAGAAGTTACAGCTTCTTAAATTAACCCCAGGAATGAAATACTGTCACCTCTTCCATAGTCTCCTGGTTGGAAATGGTCACTAGGTCCAGCCCACAGTCAAGATTCATCTCACAGTACCTTTTATACTGTCCTAGGCATGTTTCGTGCTGTGGGGCGATAGTCCTGTACCAGTTTGGTTTTCTCATTTAAGACAAGAATACTAAGACAAGCGAGCTTAGTAAAATTTACCAAATGCATGTAGCTAGTAAGAGTTTGGCTAGAATTCTAACTCCGGCTCCCAGACGCCACTTTGCTCTTCATTGACCACCTATCCGAAGTCTGCAGTGTCTTGCAGTTATAGAGTTGAACTTTGCAGAATGGAATATTTCCTCTGTTCAGTTTCAGGGTGTTTTGTTTCTCTTAACCCTTTTGTGAGCCAACTCCATCAACCTCTTCATTGTTCCTAAACCTCTAGTTTCTATATCTCAGCAGAAATGTACCTAGATATTTAAAAAGCCACAGTAACTTTTCACATAACAGTAGCCCGCTTCAAATGAGTGTTAATCATTGCCATTGTAAATGGTGAAAATAAGACTCGAGTGAATTAACAAACATCTGCTTTTGTCCCAGATCTTAACTCCTCTGGGCTTCATTGCTGTCATGCATTAAATGAGAGAACTGAACAAGGAGCCCTTTTTGGCCCGTACGTCTTGACGGCACAGAGTGATGCTGAAATGAATAATAAATTCTAAGCTCCCACACCACCACCTTCAGAGGTGCCAGGCATAGTTTGCTCCTCTCTCTGATGGCGTAGAAGGTGCGGGTAGGCACAGAATTCACCTCGTGACTTTCTGAAATTATCGACTGCATCAACAGAATTTCAAGCAGATGGTTTCCATGTCCTCATGCCCTGTGTTTTTTATTCTGTGACATGTGAACTGAATTGGGAGATGATGATTAGCTCTTCTTTTTTATTGTTTGCAATTTTCTCTTTCAAGCTGCAGACTGAGAGACTATTGCCACTCATGCTTGCCTTTGTTCCCACTTTGAACTTTCCTTTTCCGAAAAGTACAAGTCAAATCAGAAAACAAAGGATTATGAAATAAAAGGACGCCATTACTGTGTGTACCTTAATATTTCTCATATTAAATTTTTAGCACATTTAGCTCGGAGACCTTATGTTTAAGAAGGCCAAAACAATCATTTGTAATTAAAGTAAAATCTGATTTTAATAACCTGAACTCAGCCTCTCTAAAAGTGATATTTTTTATTTTTCCAACTGACATAGGACTTCTTTGAATTCAATCGATTGTATATTTTATTCCAAGAAGGAATAATCAAAGAAGATATATTTAAGAGACCAAGTGACTTCAATACAAAGCAAACTACCCAAGTTTTATTCATACAAGCATATTAAGCTCACATCAGTATTAACTAACATGGGACAATCAAGCAGATGCTTGTTCTGCTTGAGTGATTACCTGACCCAGCAATCCAGCAAAAGGAAAACACGATTTGACTAGGGCTTTGTGTGCGTACCAAGTGAAGTGCAAGGTCAATAATTAGAGTGTCTTGCATACGGCAAGTGCTCAATGAACACTGAATATCTGAAGAAAGATGAGAAAATATAGCCATCAAGGAATCAAGAACCTAAAGACTTGCAACTCCTGCATGTTTTCTTTCCAAAAATGTTTCTAGAATGCCTGTCAAACACTAGGTGCCCCGTTGTTCTGGGAAACAAAGACTGTCAAAGAATGTCAACGAGATAAGGAAATTTGAACTCAAGCAAATAAGCTGTATGTCCCGCTATGTGGAGAGCAATGGAAGTGTAGAGTCTAGGAGAGAGAGGGCTCATCCCGAACTCAGAGTCCACTTGAACCACATTTTAGAAGTTGCTCAGAATTAAAATAAACAGTAAAGTGGAAAGACAAGAGTCCAAAAGGATGGAATCTCATAGCAAGAGAAGAAAAACAAGACTTATCAAAAACAGAAGTGAGGAATAAATAATAAATATACCAAAGTATAGTGCTTTAAAAATCGTGTAGCTCTTCACTGACGTATTTGAACCATTGTGCTTCCTGGGAGGTAGATGACATGCCTATAAGAGAAGAGAAGAAGAAAAAGAGAAGAGAAAAAGAAGAGAAAAAGTTAAACAATCTCAGGAATGGGCAAATCTGACAAAATATATTAAGTTTAGTGTTTTAGAGACACTGTGTTGCTAGGGCTGCCAGAATAGTTCTACAGGCTGGGTGGCTCAAACAGCAGAAACCTATTGTCTCCTAATTTGGACGCTGGAAGTCTCAGATAAACAGGGTTAGCTTATTCGGAGGCCTCTTTTCTTTTCTTTCTCTTCCTTTCCCAGAACCACCTTCTCCCTGAGCTCCCCATGCTCTTTCTTTGGCAAATCTGCATCTAACACCCTCTTCTTGTGTCCTGGGAGCCTGGTCATGATGGGTTGGGCCCACTTTAATGATCTCATCTTAACTCTACTTTTTTAAAGATTCTATCTTCAAATAGAGTCACATTCCAAGGTACTAAAGGTTAGGACATTGTATAAATTGGAGGAAGAAGAGACACAATTCAGCACATATCAGATGCACTTACTTTGAGACCAGAACATCAAAGAGATCATAGTAAATCACTGTAACAAGAAGAACCTACACATAAGAGGTCACACATGTAGAAACTTAGAGCTTGGAAATGTCTATATAAGTAGGAGGCATAATAATAATAATGGAAATAACAAAAGCAGAAAATTCCACCAAGGAAAAATCTGTAAAGTAAAAAGCAACTAACCAAGAAAAGTGTTTCCTTGATTTTTTTTATGCTCTTCATTTTGAGTACCTAGACGTGACAGTCTTCCTGTGAATCACAAAAATCTTGGAGTTGAGAGGAACCTTTAAACTCTCCTTATTCCACTAGAGAAAATAAACAACAAAGGTACAGGTGAGATAACTCTCCCAAATGGTGGAGGAGACTCTTCGCATCACGGTACTCCTTTCACCACGACGCTCTCTCTGAAATAATTAAATAACCATCATTCCAGTCATAATACATTTTAAAGCACCTCGAGGTTTGTAAAGAATTTTGAATTTTATATGGCTAAGTGTAGGTAAGTTCTACGGCTATTGATGAATTCTCAATGTATTGTCTAGACCTGGGCTGTACAATATAACTACCTAGCAGCCACATGCATCTATTTAAGTACACATCATTAAAATTTAATAAAATTTAAAATTCCGTGTCTCTATTGTACTAGCCACGTTTCAAGTATTCAACAGGTAGCTGTGGCTGGTAGCTAATGTATCAGACTGCACCAATATAGCATAAGTTCACCATTGCTCAGAGTTAGTTGTACCGGACAGGCCCAGGGCAATATATTCTACAAATTAAATGAACTGTGTTTCTAGAAAGTTTAAAGAAACTCAATCACAATCCTCTTCAATAGCAGGTGGTGACCCATGTCAACTACAAACTGAAATAAATATAAATATATGTACATATATATGTGTGTGTGTGTACACATATATATATTTAAAAGAAGTCACTTCCAAAATTTCCCTTCATATTTCCAACTTAGTTTTATTCAAATGAGGCCAACTTTGATTTTTGAAAGGCCAAAAGTAGAAAAACATATTGCTGATGGTAATCAATTTAAAACTTTTGAATAGCCTCACATGGCCTAGCATCAATTCTCAATCATTCCAGAAACTTTCCCTTCCTAAAGAAAGTCTATGCATCATTCCGGTTCTAAAACACCATTCAAATTTGAATGGCAGGTGATTATTTGCCATTTCATCTAAATGTTTAATCATCCATGAGAAAGTCCTCCATCTCAATGCAAATTTTAAACCAAAAAATTATGAGTAATTAAGTCTATCCCTAGATTTACAAAGAACTTCATTATATAAAAATCACAAAAATGAAGCACTTTATTTTTTTAACAAAAATGTTATTTTATGACATTTGTATTTGTACAAAGGTACATGAATATCGTGGGGCACAGGGGACATGGGAACAGTGAGAGTTTGAGAAGCACTGGCCTAAAGCACAGGTTCAAAAGCCCAGGGAGAGTGTTTCTCTGAGCACAGTGTGAGTATTGTCAGATGCACCAGAGAGGTTATTATTAAAAGCAAGACTCTAGAAGCTCTCCTCGATCCTATGAGATCAGAATCTCTGAGCACAGACTACTGCAGTCTCCATGTTTTCCTTTTCTTCTCCCTCACCTCTCTTCCCATGGAATCTCCACTTTCAAGGAGCTCCTCAAGACAATGCTGCTTCTCACTAGAACTCAAGGGGAACGCAAACACTAGAGTCTGATTGAGAGTTCATATGTTTGGTGTTAAATATGTAGAAATTAGTAGTTATTCTAGCCATGAAAGTGCCATACCAAGGCATGGAAGAATCCCTTTTATTGGGCAGGCATAATTAAATGTTCTTTTATTGTTATTTTGTTTTTAAATAGCAATAGCGGCAACAGTTCAAGTGTAATTTTAAAAACCACAAAATCCTACACACTATGAAAGAGCTCTATTCCCTACACACTCAAATATGCATTTATTTTGGATACGAGGAATGAGGAATGAAGATAAATAAAATCTGAAGGTCATTTTTAAATCTTATGGTTTTATATCCTTTATTTTACTAACCTTTAATTGTTTAACTGTACAAATCAAAGATAATCTAGGTTAAAAGTATGTCCAAGGAATTTAAACTACAAGTAAAATATTAACAATTAGAAAAGGCATTGAAATTTGAAACACTAGTCTGATGTTTTAAAATGATAAAGGTAATAATACACATCACTTGAATTAATGCAAAAGTACTTAGAATTAACACACTAATTTTATATTTGGCCAAATATTAAAAAGAAAGAAAATAAGTTGAATTTATTTAACTCATAGAAATGATCTTACCTAGAGACAGTTATATACAGAATACACTTGAATTGGGGGAAACTTGATCTAGCATTCTTTTTCAGTTTAAAATGTTCGATTAAGATGACAACTATATACAGACACATTTAATGTATGATAATACAAACATAGAGATATGTATCACATGATTTTGCAAAATTAGACTTCTAGCTAGGACCCCAGGTAGCTAGTTTAGTTTTATTTTCAATACAATGCCTTCTTTTTTCTAAATGTCTCCTTCCTTCTTCTATACACGCGTAATGATCTAGAAGGCAATTAGAGAACTTAAGGACACAGAAGAAAAGTATGTAACATACAGCACCTTCCATAAGGGCTAATTGGACACCTACTATATGCCTGGTATGCATCCGTGCCCTGTGCAAACTCGCCTGCACATTTTATTCATCCAGCCATGCAAATCTGAGCTCCATTCTGCACCAAGGAGCCCACAGGGAAGAACAACCCAGAGCATCTCATTTGTACTCTGATACACTGCCGGCTCCAGTCATCACTTGCTGTCCGCGGGGAAGGGATGGAAATTGTACTTATTTCCACACGCTAAGTTATTTTATTTGGCAAGTGCTCTAATGTTGCTGACAAAGCCCAAAGACTGGTGAGTAATAAAGAAGCATTTTTCCTTCCTTTTTAGAAGCTCAAGCCCTCTTCATCAGTCGGTTGCTGTCCAAGTAAAGTGAAATGATGACAGTTGTAGGCTAAGGGGCCCGTTCTGCTCTTTTTTATCCTGGCAAGAGGATCTATCACCCATTGGAAAGACATTCAGTCCCTGAAAACAAGATCTTAAGGCTTCATCAAAGCTTGAAGAGGCCTCGGGATGTTTGGGAAGTTTGCCAATTAGGTGTGTCTGCAGGCTGCGTGCCTTCCCTCTTTTACTGCCTTTCATCCTCCCCTGCCTGGGATCTTTTATCCTTGGCTACTAGCAGTAGGTGAGCCCAAAGCAGTAAACAGGATCTAAAAAAACACTCTTTAAATCAAGGAAAGCAGACTCTTTTACATAGATGGCACATCCCAGACTTACCCTGATTCTGGCCAGTTTATCATTGAATATTACTAAGCACAACCCCAACTGAAGAATATGAGGATTATCAGAGAAAATTTGTCACTAACAGGAGGGGGGAAAGGCCCTCTCAGGATATGTAACTGTTGAGCTTTTTTTTTCCCCTCCCTTTGTAGACCATGAACTCCTTAATGAGGAAAACACCATCTTGTTCATCTCTCCAACCTGGGTAGCACAAGTCTTGGCATCTGGTACACATTTAGCCATTCAAGGAATGCATGAGAATGAATCAGTGTGTGCACACATTTTCCTCGTTACTTTCAAGCATCCCTTCTTATTTTGTTTGTGACCTCAGAGACAAAAATGTTAGCTTTCATTCCAGTTTATTCCTCAGTGTCTCTCAGGTAGACTATTGCAATTATCCTCTAATTCAATACCCAGAATCTTCCTCCCTCAGCACTGTGTACTGGCACTGAATTCATATGACTGTAATATTGCTTTAATCATATTAATTCGCTCAGATGGCTGCTCAATTTCTGGCAAATGAATTCACCCATGAATGCATTCACCCTTTCAGCCACATTTCCGGCTTCCCCTCCCTTTCCCCATTTGACCACTGCTCTTGCAGACATGGACACTGATTTGCATTCGTCTGCAAATGTGTCTGTCCTGAGCTGTCCATTCCTCGAGTATTATCCCCTTCCTTTTTGCCTGGGTGAAGATTATCTTCCTCTTCCCTCCAAATCCTGGTTCAAAGACCATTCTCCTGTGACATCATCCAAAAGAATAATCTCTTCCTACTGAGAAGAGCATGCTTTCTTGATAACCTCACAGTGTTTATCTCACACAATGTTGAACTGATTTTCTGGGAACTGCTTGTCTAACCTGCTGGACCACAAAGGGAAGACCGGTGGGTCCACCACTAGCACCCTGAAACAGCTTACCCTGACACCGTGCACACTGCTTGCTGCAGTATTTCTGGATGAAGGAATTAAGAGGATTTTAGAGACTTGACAGATTGTATTTCCTACATTTTCATTCATTCCCCAAAGAACATTTGACATATTTTGTTTTCAAATATGCTATTAAAAGTGAGAGGAATAGGTATTTAGTAAATGGAGAAAGAAAATCAAAAAAACTGTCAATCACATAAATACGAAAACAGAGTAAAGCCTCAAAAAGGAAGAAAAAAGTAACAGCATCGTTAACTGAAAATACAGTTTTAAGAAGTCTGCTGACTGGAAGGAAATGTGTGATTTGATTTGATTTATTGAGTTTTTGTTAGGGGCTACAGCTCCAGGAGAGTACAGTCCTGCATTCTCCTTTCAGCTGTGCTTCAGGTCCCCTTGGCAGACAGCCGGTAACAATTAAACGTCCAATACAGTCGCTGCGAGGAAAATTTCCTTTTTCAACCTCACAATAAGTGGTTAGAAATCTTTCCAAGTGTATCACTAAAAGTTAATTTTAAATAACTATTTCTGTATATGAAGAGAAGACTCATGTAGGGCAATGAAGGCTTAATGGTGAAAGGCATACTATGTTTAAAAATCAGTTGCACATTATTTGTTTGTTTTTGGGGGGGTTTTTGGGAGGGTACCAGGGATCGAACTCGGGTCCTTGTGCTTGCAAGGCAGGCAGCGGAACTACTGAGCTATATCCCTGGCCCCAGTTGCACATTCTTAATCCTTTCGCTCTGAATTGAAGAGGCAAAAGTAATGGCGAGCACTCCAACCTGAGACCCTCCTGATGTGTATGACACAGAAAAGCTATAGAAAATGTGAGCTTAAAGGTGCTCTAGAGAGCATACCTTGAACAGTGTAATCAATATTCTTAGTTACACCTGGCTTTGCCTACTTTATTTGTTGAGTAACAAGGACTTATCCAATAGTACCTATTATTAACAAATAATTGTGCTACATTTTAAAGGTTTGTGAAATTTCTAAATACATCGTCTTCATTAATTAAATCGCATCCCTAATCATTTGATTTTAAAGAGATCTACTTTGAGTGCCTTCATAAATAAAAGTCCCTTTTGTGTTTATTTCCTTATGTTCCTATGCATCTATTCCCTTTTTAAGTTGATTTTTTTTTTACCTAATATTTATTTACCTCAGACAAATCGTAGCAGGGTAGATTTTAGGTACCTAAGTGCTAGAAAACTGAAATGGCTTCTACCCTAGGAACCAACTGTGAGTCAATAAAAATGGAAATCCACACAACACAGAGAAAGGGGTACCTGAAAGACAGGGAGAGAATCAAAATGATCCAAATATTTTCTATCAGAACATATAAGCTTTTTTATTTACCCACAGAAATAAAGACTTTTATAAACTACACAATGCCAGCAACCCCAATAGTCAGGTTCCAGTACCCACATGTTCAGTATATGACCCAGGCCTGAGGAGAAAAAAATGCACTAAAAGACAGAACTAAGAGAGAGAAAGCAGGGCGCCAGGATGACCAATGACAGTGCAACCGACAAAGGCGCTGGCCAGTCCCAGGCACTGACTTTTATTGGCAATCAATGGGGTAAAGGCAACGTGTGGTTTCTATGGAAATTAACATAAGCAAGACTCATGAAGGACAGGACAAAGCATTCTCGAATTAGGAACAGAATAGGCAAAATATATGGTTGTAATTCGAACATGGTCCTTCTAGTCAGAAGGTTTTAGTCTTGGGAACAGAATTTGGGTGCCAGCTATTCTGACCTTGGCATGTTGGCTTCAGCCAGATTCACTTCTATAAACAGCCAATTGTGGGGCTAACTCTTTACCTTGGGCACCATCGATATCACAGTCCTGTGCAACACAAAAAAATAAGAAAATGTTCAATATTGAATCACTTAGAATACTAAAATACATATTTATTAGCAGTAAGTATCAGATATATTAAACACCAAGGAAAATTTTAGTAACTGATTATAATGATTATTATTTACAAAGAATTCTAAATGAAACAAAATGAGTGTATATCTCAGGACTAAGAGCTTTGTCCTCAAGTTATGACCACTTGCAGTAATAACAACTGTTATTATTAAGAAGTATTAGTAATTTCAATCATTTTGCTAGCAACTTCATTTTCAAATCTTGGCTTTCATGACTCTTTGACAATTACAAAAAAAAAAACCTCTGGTTATGAAAATCTATTTTTAAACTACAAATACTGCTGACCAAAACACTGCCAAGACTGGAAAGAGCTCTGTGGAATCTGTATCTAATATAATTCATTTAGCAAATATTTAATTTAAATGGTTACATCTAATAATGATGCTAAGCTATATTTTCCATTTTTTACAAGCTTATTTTCTAGCCTGACTATTGTGAACCTGATGAAACAGTAACTGCTGTGGTTATATGTGGTCAATAAGTTTTTGCTCCAATAGGAATACAAAATTATGCATTTCAGCAGTGGACCAACAGCATCGGACTCCGTACTCCATCACTGAGAGCTGCAACCTTGATTCTCAGTTATTATTATTACTTGTGAGAGTTAAGAGAATCCCTTCAGCTTCTGGTCGGTTAAGTTTCTTCACCTGAAAAATACAGTAATAAGGATACCTACCTTCTTGGATTGTTTTGATGGTGAGTGATTGTTTCTTGGCATAATTGTTCCGTAAATAATTGTAGCTGCTGCAGCTGCTGCTGTCCTTGTTAGTAGCATTCGTACCGTAAGTTGTAATATCACGGTAGTAACTCTGAAGAAACTGCGAGATTTTACCTAATCAAGAAGAGAGGAATCACAAAAGCTATGTGAGGTGATAAATGATAGTTGTCATTTCAAAAAGAGAAAAAGGTGTATTTTAGGTTAACAACAAGAAAATGAAAAGAAGTTTGAAAGGGTCTTTATTCAGAGGAAAGTGAACCTATAGTCTCATATTTGGTAACAATTTGGTCAGTGGCCAGAGAAAAGCTCAGAAACAAGTTAAGGTGAGATTCAAAAATTGAAATTATCATAATATCTATTACATGCTGATATTTTTAGCTATTATATTGGGAGGCAAAGGTTCCTAAAAATATTACCAAACTCAAATACAAGACACAAAGACTACCGGGGGGGGGATCAAATGATGGTGTATTACACAAGGTGTAAGTCATCCTCACTTAACATCTGAAATACCTTTTAATAGAGTTACAAACACAAGCATGAATACACACACGTGCACACACACACACACACACACAAACACCATCACACACAAAGGGGAAATAGTCTCTAAATCAAAAGAGAACCTCTAGACTAAGGATTATTTTCACTAATTGTGAAGGGTTTATTTCTTTTGAAATGACTCAGAGCTATTCCAGTCTCCTCATTTTCTTTTTTTGTAATGTCATTACTGTTAATGAGAGGTGAAAAATGCAAACAAAATCATTTCTGTGTGCTTGATGGAGCTCCCTAGGAAGATACATTAATACACATCAATTTGAAAAATTAACATCTCAAAAAAACATTATTGTGCCAATATAGCTCATGTTTCATAACAAAACTCTATAGTTCTAAAAGCTATAGGGATCAAAGGGGACACCATTAGGTGGCTTTTTCCATTTTCAAAATTGATAAATCCCAACAGAAACTGGCCAAACTCTGCTATGAAAGAATATACAAAAACAAAACTGCCAAGCCACATGTATTTAAGATGAGTCCTAGAAGTCAGGGTGAACCAGAGCACCAACCAAACATCTGTAGGTGTGTGAGTCTCACGGAGACAAGAGGAGGGGTGGGGAGGGGAGGGGAGAGCAGGGGCACAGAGAGGGGGCACTTAGCCAGCGTTATTACTTAGGGACATCCCAGCCGTGTGTGCCCGTCCCAGTGGTTGGATGCAAGCTTGACTTCAGGCTGTTTCAGGTGAGCTCACCTCATATCTTCGGGCGTTGTTTGTCCTCAACTGACCTGCAGCAGAATCACCTAGAATGCTTATTTTAAAAAGAAATTGATGTGCCGTCCTGTATTTACTAGATTAAGATATTTTCAGAACAGCCCCCATACATGAGAGGTTTGCACAAACTGACTGATCATTCGTGTGAGTACCAAATTGGAGAACTGACATTTTGGGACTCAGTGCCTAAACATAAAGGATTTCAAGTTCAAAATGGTTATGGATCGATGACTGGGCTCCTTCTCTGGAGCTAAATGACAACAGGAATGAAATAGCAGGCCTTGCTCTTGACTTCGAGAAGCTTGCTACAGCGTGAGAGGGCAAACCTGGGACACAGGGATGCTGATGCCTCAGCACCTGCCCAGGCCCAGGCCCCGTGCTAAGTGCTTTCAGAGAGGAACTCGTGTGACATCGCCATAGCCTTCCGGAAGCTGAACTCGGTTCATGTGCCATTTCTGCTACAGCAGACAATTCATTGAGACAGTAAGATCCAACAGTTATGAGCAATGTGAATGTTTAAGTCATTTTTTATTTATTACAGTAAAAGACTCATTGCCTGTAATCCCCGGAAAAATACTCCTCCTCACTTTGAACATACCAACCCTACTGTCCCTGCCACTTTCTGAAGTTCCAGAAGTCCTCTTTCACGTCCTTGGTTGCACTGTTGTAGTTCCCTCAATGTCCTGAATCCATCACACGCCTACCAGAATTGAAGATCTTACCTATAGCAAAAACTTCCTGAAGGACACATGTACATCCAAGACACCTCCAATCTCACCTCTGATATTGCAAGTTTCTCTTAAATTACTTCTCCCCCTGTGGTTCCCTGCGTCACCTTTTCCTCAAAACGGCAGCCACCAGGATTCTGTGCAAACAGAAGTCAGCCAGGTCTTGCTATCTCTCTGCTCCAATCCTTTGGTTTTTTCCCATCGTGCTCAAAGGTAAGCCAGGGTCTCTGCAACGGGACACGAGGGCTGCACACTCTGCTTACTCCAGCCAGCACCCCACAGCAATGCCTCATCTACTTCGATAGCCCATGCGCTTCCTGTGCTCTGGCCACAGCGGCCTCCAGCACACCAAGGAGGGCTCTGCGCTAGGGCCTCTGAGTCCCCCGGCCAGGAACTCTCCGCTCCAAGATGAGCATCTGTCTCATCTCCTCATCTGTACTGCACCAGCAACTTCTCCACAGCAAGTCACTACCGACCAGTCCTCCCAGTCCCCACATCTGTGCATTTATCCCTCAAATTAAAAAATAAAATAAAACAATGGCAGCCCTGCAATGTTTTCCCTCTTTTCTGATACCTATCAGACCTGATTGTACACCGTGTCATTGGTTACTGACCCTCCCTCGGTCCGTTCACATTGTTACTCTAAGCGGCAATGTTTTCACCTGTCTCTGTCCTCATCAACAAAGCTGTACCATTCTTGAAAGCAAGGACTGCAACATGATCCTTTTGTCTATTCTGTCCTGGCCTTCAATGTAGTGCTAAGCACATAGCATAGTTTGGTTTCAATAATATTTTAAGAAAGAAACAGGCAATATCAATAATACTGTAATAGTTGACATTCACAGAATTATTCCCAAACTCAGGAGCAGTAACCTTTTAAACAATGCGATTTGTCACCATTTTACAAATGAGACTGTAGGAGCTCATCCAAGGTCTTGCCACCTGAGATTCCTCTGGCACTGTCCCCACATAATGATGCCTCTTCCTGAAGCACCGAGCCAGCCCCTTTCTATCTGTCACCTTATTGGCGCTGGGAGCAGTGCTGTGGCGGGCGTAGATGAAGCCCTGGCTTTACAGTGAGAGAACCACACCTCAGCTAAGCAGAGGTATTCCTGCACCTGTGCTGCTGCACAGTTCAGATGCAGGACTGTGGGGTGGACTCTTAGACCAGACTGTGCACTCCCAGTTTTAGTAGGCTACTGTAGCTCTTAGCATTAAGTTTGTGATCCCAGGAATTACTTCGCTGTGTCTAGTCCTCTCTCTTAATCTCCTATTAAAAACAGGTCTTTAACATGAGGGAAAATGACACAAGGATACCAACAAAGAAGGGGATTTCCATAATCTCATTTGTGTGGAACTGGCTTCATTTTAATGTATGTTTCAGTGTGTTTTCATCTCTCATTTGTGTATTTTTGGGAACAGTATGTGTGAGAAAGACAGAGAGAGATGGGTCAGAGAGACAAGGTGAGGGTCAGCTGGTCCTGGAAATCCTGCTGGCTTCACGCTCAGAGAACACCCCACTGGTGTCCTGACCTTCTAGTGGCTCTCTGAAGCCTGCCCTTGAGTGTTAGAGAGAGGCAGGAACAAAACTTCAATTCTATACCTAAGAAAGCAGAACCAGAATTTTCCAGAGGAAAAGCCTTTGAAAATAGAAAAATAAATGAATGAATAAATTAATAAACGGGACAAAGATACAAAGAGCAGAGAAAGATGACTTCAAGGGGTGAGACAACAGGAAACCTAAGCCTCATTCCCAACCTTGGGGTTCACGTGCATGGCTGTTATTCAGAACCAAAGTTTCTCCTTTATCCAGTGGATCAGCAAAATGGTAGTCTCAAGTAAGGTCTGCAGCTCACTTGTGCTGTTGTTTCCATATTTTGCCCTTTGCTTGCTGGGGTAGGGAGTGTTGTTTTGCTTTCTTTTGAAGAGTAACTTCAGCTCAGCACTTTGATCCTTCTCTAACCACCCTGTTTGATAATCTCACAGACAGGAAATATGGCTTCACGGTTTGGACAGCGGCCTTGGTCCTGCTTTTATCTTACTTCTGGGCTGTTCATCTCCACCCCAGGCCCCACCTGCCAGAGTGAGAGCCAGGACTGCAAGCCTAAGTCTTTCTGATCCTTGATACCCTCTGAAGCTTTATCCTCAGCTCAAGTACAAAGCAATTATGAAAGATCTCTTAAATTCGAGAAAATACCTCGTGCATTTATAGTATCTAGATTTCGAGTGGATGTGATTGGCTTTCAGCTCTAATTCTAAAGAAACAGGTAGAGTTGTTTGAAATTATGCCTGAGACACAAATACAGTGAGGTACTGAGAGAGGGAAAGTGGATGGATAAAGAGCTTATAAGAAATGAAGAGGGAAATGAGGAGCAAAACAAAAACGAGTGTCTTACTGGGGGAAGAGACTTCTTCATGTTGTTCACCCCTGCCATCTAGTGGTTATTCTGTAGTAATGCCCAAATCAGATCTGTGAAATCGGGCAATTACAAAAATGTTGTGTCCATAGACTATTTATTTACCTCTGCGACAAGTCCCAAGCCTTTCTCTCTGGTATGAACACAATTGTACGTTTTCTGCCTCTGTTATTGTCCCCATTATTTCAATAGGACGCCCGGGCTTCAAGTGTGGAATAAATTCTGCAACGTTTCACGAGTTTCCCTCACATTGGGTCCCTCAGGGGGCAAATGAATATATTATATTCTGAAATTCAAGGGTTTGCATGAGTTCGTTTTTACTATCGGCTGATCCAGTATAACCGTTTCTTGCAAGTCAATTAAACCAGCGTTGGCAATATTAAATAGAAACGTAGTCCTCTCGGTTCAATATTCAACGTATCCTTCCGTTTTACATTTTTAAAATTGTTTTTAAAAACTTGTTTCAAACCTTTCCCACCCAAAGCAGGAGTTCTACATTTCCGTGGTTAGTGGCACCGCAGGAGGTCGCGTTGCAAACTCGCCCTGCAGCCTGGGTTGCTTGTGGGAGGCTGCAGCTGGCCCCGGAAATGTCAGGGTCAGAAACAAAGCCCGGGCGAGGTTCCCAAAGTTAAGACACCTGCGGAGAAGGGATCTGATCCTCACAATCCTAGTGTCAGAGCCACTGCTTCTACGCTTTTT